AATTTTTGTAGTGAGGTTCCCGTCAACCCCGTACTTAGCGGGGGTGCTATGGACGTAAACACAGCTCTGCAAGAAGTGTTGAAAACTGCTCTTATCCATGGTGGTCTTGTGCACGGTCTTCATGAAGCTGCTAAAGCCCTTGACAAGTAAGTTTTCTATAGATCAATATAAATATTCATTGATATCACACAACACCTATCCTAATTATAAATATCCCTATTATAAATATATTTTACGTGGTAGATCTATTCTGCAGCAGTATTATGGTTGCATCACAAATGGGTCAGCTCGACTATGTTAGGACAAAGGTGTGCTGTTGTGTTTTTATGGTGTTAGAGAACATGAGACCCTTTTTACTGGAAACAAGATATTTCATCTTAGTCCTCAAGGGTGAATATAGATATCCGGTATTTGTGTATGTGGGGAGAGGGTGGATTCAGAGGAAGCCTGCCTACGCTTCCCCTCTTGTGGATAGGTATAGTATATAAGTAATGATTTTTTTTGTAAAATCAACCTCAATTTTTTAACACAGGAATATTGACCAAAAGCTACTTTTGCATTGGCTTCGGCACTGCAGGAAGTGCAGCCCTTACCTAGCATTTATCAGGCACCCATGCTCAGCTCCACAGATCTATCTAATTGGTCGCCTTCAGTGATCAGCCTCCGCCGCTATGGCTCGCACGGGTGCCTGCGATTAGCTGCGCGGGTTGAGAGATGCTTTCCCTCCACGCCTACGGTTTTACCAAAACATGAGGCCAGACAGGCTGTCTAGTTGGGGAGTGCTGATTGGGTTTTAGTACGGATTTGACCTATCTTATCTATAAAGTCAGTTTGACCTAAATTCTGATATAATAGTGGTAAATGAAACAATGTAATGTGAATTGTTATAATTTTGTTTCCTGAAAAACGTCTTGACTGCCGTCTTGACTGCTTTTCACTGCAACTTAATTTTTGTATATGAGCCCCATCTTCAGCCACAAATGGATTGTGTGAATATTTTTTTAGTTTAATTCACTGGCAATAGAATTAGTTAAACATTCATTGGCTATGTGGCTGTTCTAGCCATATAACCAGTGGAAATATCTAATTTAACTCAAGTTACTTTAGATTTACTCTGTTGCCTACATCAATGCTTACACATAGTACCACAATGTTTGTTTCTTCAAGCTTGTGGCCTCCCAAGTATGCCACAAATTAGTAAAATAAACTGATAGTTGGAATATTCCTGTACATCATCACCATCATCATTATGGCAGCTTGTCAATGTATCACTGCTGAACATAGGCCTCCTCCAGGCTGGGATAGTGGGTTGGCAACTGCAGTTTTTATTATATTGGGCTATTTTAACGGAATAAATTATAAGGGTCTAACAGGTTATGAAAAATATGATTTATACAATAAGGTTATTTATATAATAGGGTTTATTATTAATGTGGATAATATTTTGCAACAGGAGGCAAGCAGTCCTTTGTGTACTAGCTGAGAACTGTGATGAGGCTGCATACAAGAAGCTTGTACAGGCTCTTTGCAATGAGCATCAAATTCCACTTGTTAAGGTAAATTATTTTAATACATATTGCTATTTTAACTATATCTAATAGTAAAGAGCTCCAGACCAAATTTTGATTATGGTGGTTGGTCAGTTATAGTGTGCAAGGGTATATACACACTCACTATCTATTCCCTCACTCTCAAAGTCCGGTGAGACGGCAATCCGACACGACTGAAGACAGATCAGGACCAGGATTAATGGGCTTCATATGCTTTCTGAGGCATGGAGGTGAAACACTCAGCTTTCTGACTCAAGACTTCTGAGAATTTCTGAATAGTAAAAAACAATAACTTGTTTAGGTTGTGTTTAATCATATGGACATAAATGATCACCAGTTGCACTTGCGATTACTAGACCAATGAGGCGTTGCTATACCTAGTAGTATCATAGGTCTCCATATCTTTATTTTTCCGTAAAATAATAAGTTGCCAGCTTTAGCGGGCAAAAGACAGCTCTTTTCCTTATCTATCTAAAATCTATGTACGCTCCGCACGAGCCTCCTTGACCCATGTTGTGGTAGGCCTAAGGAGCGCAGAGTAAATTGTGTGCCCCTATGGTGGCTTGCATCATGCAGAGTCAACTTTCCTAGCACTCAAACATTTTATTTAAATTTTTATCAAAAAGGTAGAATGATAATTTCCATTTTAAATGAGCAATCTAATATTCGTCGACAGGTTGACAACAACAAAAAGCTTGGCGAATGGGCAGGTTTATGCAAAATTGACAAAGATGGCAAAGCACGAAAGATTGTTGGATGCTCATGTGTTGTAATCAAAGTAAGTATTAAATTGTAATTATTAAAACTTTTTTGCAAACAATTCTTTTTAATCAGTGTTGCAAATTATCAAGCTAATTATGTTCATTGATAATTATTGGATAATTATGTAATTATTATCCAGCAATATCATGTGTAATAAAAGTATTATAATAATATTATTTCAAAACAAAATAATGCTATTTGTTTGATATAGTTAACAATAAACAAAATTTAAACAAATCAACGTTATTTTTTATATTGCGAAAAATTGATGTACAATATTATCTGCGTTCGCAAAAACAAGGAAATAAACATCATCATTGATAGTACATGTTATTATAATTATCATTGATAATAATTTGTAAATAATGCAACCCTGCTTTTGATCTGTAAATTATCACAATTCTGGCTGCTTCAGAAAAAATATAAAAAAATAAATGGCTAATATTTCCAATATGGACCATCGATTTCAAAGCCCATATTTTTTTTGTAGATAGTACTCACTAAAAGAAAGCGTTTTGCAAAGTTTTAGGTTGCGGAAACTTACGGTTCATGAGATATATTTTTTTAAACTTTTCATACAAATTGGCAAATAACACGCAATTACACCAATTACAAAATAAATTTGACAAATGATTGATGTCAAACGTCAATTAGTGTAGGGTTCCGAATATTTTGAAAGTATCGATACGTACTCGATACCAAGTATCGTATCAAAAGTATCAATACTACTTGGTATCGAGTACATTTTGTTAATTTTTGAGACGCAAAATTATGATTTCTGCTCATCCCGCAGCGCCGGAACGCGACTTCCCCTTCGACCCCCCCCCCCATCTCACTTCCCCGCTACTAACCCATCACACCACTTCCCTGCTACTAACCACACACCCCCTCTCTTCCCATAAGTCCCTCCCTTTTCTTTATTTAATCTAGTTAATTTTAACCCTCCCACATATCCCCCTCCATTTCACCAGACATACGGTAACGAGAATAATAATAATATAATAAATTTTAACCATGAATATCACCAAAACCATGGGGTTCCGCAGGGTGGGGATTGCACAGGGGGTATCCATCGCTCCTCCCCCCTCCCACCCCTAAAACCTCATATATCGATGATCCATATTGGAAAGTTAGTCTCCAAAATTAACGAAATGTACTCGATACCAAGTAGTATTGATACTTTTGATACGATACTTGGTATCGAGTACGTATCGATACTTTCAAGATTTCGGAACCCTACACTAATTGACGTTTGACATCAATCATTTGTCAAATTTATTTTGTAATTGGTGTAATTGCGTGTTATTTGCCAATTTGTATGAAAAGTTTAAAAAAAATATCTCGTGAACCGTAAGTTTCCGCAACCTAAAACTTTGCAAAACGCTTTCTTTTAGTGAGTACTATCTACAAAAAAAATATGGGCTTTGAAATCGATGGTCCATATTGGAAATATTAACCACTTTTAATTCTATTTGCACATGTGTGTTATATTTTGTTCATTTGTTATGTTAATCTCATGCCTGGCAATTGTGAAGTTAAGTAAAAGTTTTTGGCTTGTATTACTCATATACATTACGTTAAATTATCAGAAAATACATATCAATAGAAGAGAATTAAGATTATTCCTCATCTAAGAATACATATGCGCTTAGCACGAACACTGACGACTATCCATTAGTCGCTTGTGATAAGCAATTCGGCGCTATATAAACGTGTGTGACCCTATGGTGCCACACCAGTGTGTGAGCAACTTTCCTATCATTCAGACATTCATTAAATCAAAGAGTTCATACAGGCTTAGCCGAGTTATAAAGTCAAATCATTAGCGATTGTAGAAAGTGAACTTGGTTTAGCCTTAAGAAACACTTTCAAAGTCTACTTTTTACTCAACTACACCAGAAGAATAATGTTTTTGGTTGTATGAATATATTATGTAATATGTATGTATTGATTCATCTGTTCCTTTGTGACTTGCTGTTGATTAAATGTTAGATGACTTTGTAAGTGGAGAGATGTAAAATTTATTTTGAACTCCCCAAGTATTATGGTCATTCTACACTTGTCACAAAAATTAAGAGATATAAAAAATATTCTAATGTTTGTTTCTAGAGTGATTCTAATTAAATTACCGAAAAATTATTTAACTAGAAAGCTCATTTAGGAAATTTCATGTATTTTAATTAAACATAATCAAAAAGCCTGGTCCAACGATTAGCCGCGTAGTTACCGTGAATCAAATCAAAAAAGTTCTTCTTAGTATTTTGATATGCAATAACTCTCGAAATTAATGATCGGATAGGAAATTGAAGGAGGGTTTTGAAAACTGCATGACATTCCCCATGAGGAACCGATTCTTATTCATTTTTCCAATAAATTTTAATTTTTCCTATATATTTTAATTTTTGTGACTAGTGTATAATACGGTGCTCGAAGAAAACTAATTACGCCTTTTTACTTTGTTAATAATCGTAATTTTAAAAAAATTCACTTGTTGCAGGATTTCGGTGAGGAGACACCAGCGTTAGATGTGCTTAAAGATTACCTCAAGTCCTCAAGCTAATCTTTAGGTGTAATGCTAAAATAAAAACCAAAAAAATATCATCTGCTTTTTATTTCTTATTATAAACACAATAACTGTACCGAATATTATTATAGTTATAGAGTTGTACGTTTTTATTAGTTAAATTTTTATTCAGTTTTATTTAGTTTTTCAAACTGGTCGCAGATCTTCTTGTGTTTCGGCCAGTGTTGTACTTGGCATTCTCTGAAAATATTTTTGATCTTCAAAAACGAGATGATAATAGCTTAAGATAAATTCAATAATTTGTCGCTGACGCTGCATAGATATTTTTTTTAATAAAAAATAGCCTCCTTAATATTAAAAAAATACGAAAAAGCAAAACAACATTTATTTTTACCGGATTACTAGCTTGTTTTCGATTTAATGGAAAACTACAAATACGAGTAATATTCTTACTAAAAAAAATCGGGGTTCGCCCCTTTGTGGCGTCAGTGACAACACTCAATATTACTTTTCCTTGTAAGTTTGCCTGCCCTATTTTGACAAGGATGACAAACATTGAAACGATCCAAAGAAAGTGAAACTCGTACAAAAAGACACCTACCTACGCCGGAAAAAGTTCACAAATAATTTGGCTGAACCAATTGTAATTAAACTTCACGAACAAATAATAATATACCCAGGAGTGATCCAGACTAAATTTAATACAAAAAATTGTGAATTTTATTAAAATAAGTATGAATTGATAAAATAGATGAAATAAAAGGGCTTTAATTATTGTCTAAAGTTTAAATATCGCATTAATAGATCCCACCAGACGAAGCTAGTGGGTCTCTAGTTATGTAATTCCTAATAACCGCGACAAAAAAATGGGTAAATGCGTAGTGAAAGAATGCTATTCAAGGTCACAAAAACGTGATAAATCAAGCGGAATCACTTTCAACACATAATTTTTAGTTCTTGTTTTCATATAAAAGTAAAAACCTCAAATAATTAAATAAAATTATCGAATATTGCCATTTAGGTTTAATGTTGCCACTTTTCCGCATTTGTGATTATCCTACATTAATGGGAGACTATATAATTAATGGAGTAAGTTAATTTGTTACCTCTGATTTTAATATATTTTGAAAATTATAATAAAAACTATGTTTAACTTTCATACAAAATAATTATTCTTATTTTAGTTTATTCATGAATTATCTATTAAATATATTTTATTACCTATTTTATATTAATTATAATTTGATATAAATTTTATATTAACTATATTTTATTACCTATTTTATATTGTTTGATTTATTAGTACAATAAAAATACTTACAAAAATATGTTTTGTTTCATCATTATGTTTACTTACTTCTATTCAACTGATAAGCTCCATTTTTTCTTAGGGGACGCAATAAAAGTTTTAAAATAAAATATACTTTTTTAATATAAAAACAATTAACTGCAGCTTAAAAAAACTCATTTTTATTGCGTATTTTAGGTAAAATTTCATATAGTAAGCCACACCAACCCGCCATTGCATGTGTGTCAGTGTGTGTATCTTTATCTAATCTTAGCGACGATATTGTTTTCGCAACTTGTCTAAGTGAGATATATGTTTATTTAAAATTGTTATTAGTTTCAAAGCTACGTCGTCGTGTTTGGACAGTGGTTACATTTTTTTCGACGCGCGGTAATGTGGTTTGCTCACATTTATTTAATAAATGCAATAAAATAAAAATTGCACCTATCGGGAGTACCGATACTATCTTTGTGAACAAACCAAAGATAAATAGACATGGAACAAACTATCGTTATTACAGGTTTTCAGGTACCGGCTCGATGAGCCGCCATTTCTAATCCTGTGATTTATCCGTAAAGACTGTATAGATATCTATAGAACGAATTTTCTTGCTGTGAGATGGCATCGTAAAGGAAAACCCCATATTATCCCGTATATTATGCTGTAAGAGGAGGTTATGGGATGACAGTAGGATCTTGTGATTTCCGCGGGATGGCGGAATAACCTTGTGTACATCAATCAGAATATACCCAGACCGGCAGCAGGATCAGGGTCATAGGTGCGAAAAGTTTGGTACTTACTTAAATCATCAATCTATCTACCAAGCATGGGGCAAATCATAGTGCATATTATTAAACAATAAGAGGGCAAGTCCTATATTGGGAGCAGCCTATGTCCAGCTAACGCTTTTTTGTATGTAAATATTGAATACTAGCTCGCCAGGCAGACATTGTTCTGCCCTTTCTTGTTGGTGGGGCGATATATTATGTTAAAATGAATCTCCATTTACACATATAAACCTTTCTATAGACTTATTATAGGTATAGCTAAATCCTATATATGAAGTAATAGAACCAACGGCAACATAAACTTAAAAACAAAACTCTTTATCTTCCGAAAGCGGATAAAAAGTTGCCTATAGGTCATACACGATCACTTACTACCTACACCAAATGTCATGTAAATCCGCCCAGTAGTCTGCCCGAATCGTGAATACAGGATTTTTCGATAGATTTATTACATGTATAAATGCAACTTTAATTGTAACGCAAGTAAAGACCGAACCGATCCTAGGTAATTTTTATTTTATAATTGACTATTCCCGTAAGAGATAGATTTATTAAAGATTCAAATTTTATATATATATATATATATATATATATATATATATATATATATATATATATATATATATATATATATATATATATATATATGTATGTATATTCATTTTCTATGAGTCCAATAGAATTAAAAACTTTTAGAATGGCAATAAATAGCATTTTATGACGTAACGAACGACAGGTGACGTTCAGTTTTGGGACTGTAATTTCCGATTATTATGTATTTAATTTAGATAACGTGCTTACTGGAAGCGAGAACAATACTGAAAGTGTAAAATGTTTGAAAAAACTGGATTAAATAAGGAAGACTAATCTAGAAATAGGAAAAAATCGGTGAAAACGTGCTAGTATAAGTGATTACTGAAGCTTAACAAAGATATGCTGGCACCCATCAATTAAGACCTCCGTCTAGCTTTGCTGTTTTACATTCCCAGCCATTAGAGGGGGCGCTCTCCCCCGTGCATAAATACGTTCGCGTTCGCAGGTGAAGGTGTTCTACTTCATTAAATATATAACTTATTAATTTATTTTTTCAAAAATATTCATTTTACTTTTGTCATGGTAGTATAATTTTTACCCTTTAATATTTCATAAATGTCATTTTTAGTAATGTTTATACGGAGTGTAGGTTTAAAAAGGGTATATACAACGGAAGAAAAATAAAAACTGCCTCTTCATACAAATTTCGCCTCTACCTTGTACATTTTGTACTTTACTACTACTTTTACTACTATTTTAACTGACACAAGGATATTTCTTCTTTTTTCTATCCATCTTTTTCCGTTTATTTTTCTTTTTTGGTAATATATTATATATAAAACTTAAAATGTTTAAAACATACCAAATATAAAAGTCCAAGTCAATTTATCTAATACTAATATAGACACTAAAAACTAGAACTAATATGACAATTAAATAAAAAAAATATATATTTAAGTAGAGCAACTTTTACGATATGCTCCGCTCAGTCCATAAGAGCTGCGCGAGGGAAAGAGATCAACCGTGCGAGCGAGAGGTAAAGTAACGTTGAGCAACACTGCATACGTCTGAACGCCGAGAAATCCCAGCGGACTGAGAGAATTTTCAGGCGTTTCTGGTTTATAAATGGCATATAGGTAAAAAGTACGAAAATATATACTTTTTTAATCTTATTTATTTCTGACTCGCTGGAAAATAGTTCTATTTTATGTGGTTTTAAGTACGACTTTGCTACATTTATACTTCTAATAGAAAAAAAAATATATTTGCAGTAAAAAATCATGAAATTACAACTTTTTAAGCCCTTCAAATAAGAAAATTAAAACATTTATAAAAAAGTGACCAGATCAGATTATTGTAAACAATATCTAAATAAATGTGATCTGAATACTTTTCTTGATATTGTTATAGTTTGTACATAGCAGAGGCTTTAATAAGACCTTTTGCGCATGTAACCTAAACATAGGCATGTTTAACGCCTAATAGAGCTATTAATTTAAGCACCCAAATAAAATTAAAAAAAACTGTTTCGAAAATATCAAATCCTACACTTTAAATAAATGTAAAATATGTATCACTTTTTCTTTTTTAAATACTATAAAAAATATTTGTTTTGCTGTAAATTTTACGAAAACACTAATTTTTACAAGACTGGGGCCATAAGTATATTATCTATGCCCTTGAGTTTAGGATGAAATGCCTAATTTGCTTTGATAGTACTATATTTATTGTAACAATTTGAATTCTGGCAACATGTGATGCCAATACCTTAAAAAAATTAAAATAGCTATACATAGAGGTTCAAGCAACAATTTTAAAACTTACCTTCCACAATACCATTCAGTTTTACAACGAGAACATTTTTTGCTGGCTTTATCCCCACATTCAGCACATTTAACGCCACCATTATCGAGCGCTAGAACTACATCGCTGGCGTAAGAATCTAGCAGCTTTTTAGCTATGCCGTGAGACTCCCCGGTCTCATCATTGCAGCAATGGTTTAAATGCATCTTCGCGAGCTTCTTTACACGCTTGTGTATTTGGCGCAGTAAATTTTCCTTTATCTGCGGTTACAAAAATTAAAATTAAAGTAAACACTTTACAATTATAAAGCATATAACCGACGGTATTGATTTTTGGACATGATAGTATAAGTCCCAAAATAAATACAGTTCGGTTTTTACATTCATCATCATCATTCTCTAAGCCATTTCCCATTATCTGGGGTCGGCGCAGTAAATCTTCTTGTTCCATTCCTCTCTATCAGCCGTCATTTCCATACTTACTCCTTTCATTCTCATATCACTCTTCACACAATCGATCCATCTTTTATTCGGCCTTCCTCTGCCCGTGTGTCCCTCCACATTCATATTCAACACTCGTTTTGTGACATGACTTTCATCCCTCCGCATCACATGCCCAAACCATGCCAATCTGCTTCCTCTCACCTTTTCTACCACTGGCGCTACTTTCAGGCTTCCTCTTATATACTCATTCCTTATCTTATCCATCCTTGTCACACCACACATCCATCGTAACATTCTCATTACATTCGCATGCAGTCTATTTTCATCCTTCTTCTTGACGGCCCAGCATTCACTTCCATACATGACGACAGGTCGGATGATCGATTTGTAAATTTTCCCCTTCAGCCTTATTGGCATTCGGGGATCGCACGTTGTGGCTGTGACCTGTCGCCATTTCATCCACCCTGCGTTAATCCTATGCTGCACAGCTCTATCTATTCCGCCGTCGCCTTGAATGAGGGAACCGAGATACTTGAATTCTGAGCAGGTAGGCAGTATAGCGCCATCCAACGACATGGGTACAGGACTGGAAAGACCGCCGAAATCACAGCACAGATATTCGGTTTTGGATCTGCTGATCTTCAAGCCAACACTTTCCAGCCTCTGTTGCCACCCCGTCAGTCTGCTCTGTACCTCGATGCCTTCTTCCCCGACAAGCACGATGTCATCGGCAAAGAGCATGCACCAGGGTGCCTCATCCTGCAGGTCCGACGTCAAAGCGTCCATAATCAGTAGGAAGAGGTAAGGGCTCAATGCCGACCCTTGGTGCAGCCCTACCGCCACATCGATATTGCCCGTAGTTCCCGCGGCAGATCGTACACATGTACGGGATGCTCTGTACATAGCACGGACTAACCTCACATACTTCCCAGGCATACCTTTCATCTTTAACGCCCACCACAAAACCTCACGGGGAACCCGATCGTACGCCTTTTCAAGGTCGACAAAAACCATGTGCAGATTTTTACGCACGCGCTTGTACTTTTCGCACAATTGGCGTAATGCGAAAATGGCATCTGTCGTACCTCGACCGGGTATGAATCCGAACTGGTTTTGTGTTATCTCACACTCTTCTCTCATTCTTTTCTCTATTATTCTTTCCCAGACTTTCATCGTATGTGACATGAGTTTTATTCCCCGGTAACTGCTGCAGTTTTGAACGTCTCCTTTGTTTTTAAAAATGGGGACCAGTATACTACTGCACCATTCCTCAGGTATTTGTTCTTCCTGCAACAATTTACCGAAAAATAAACTCAACCATTTCCATCCATCCGCACTCAGCAACTTCCACACTTCTACTGGTATTCCATCTGGGCCGACCGCCTTCCCATTCTTCATATTCCTAACAGCCATTTTTACTTCTTCCACACTAATTTCTCTCACTAAGCCCATATTCACTGGTGGGTTTTCAAGCATACCATTCCATTCATTCTCCTCATTCATCAATTTCTCAAAATACTCCTTCCATCGCTTCTTTATACTTTCATCGTCAGTCAAAATCCTTCCAGAATCATCTTTTATACATTTTACATGTGAAACATCTCTTCCATTCCTTTCTCTCGCTTTTGCAATTTGAAAAAGTCGTTTTTGACCTTCGGGGCTTTCAAGGGACCGATATAATTTATCTTGCGCCTCTGCCCTACAAATAGCAACTTCCTTCTTTGCTCTCTTCTTACATTCTTTATACGCCCCTCTCTTACTTTCTTTTATGGAATCATTCTGGTCTTCTACGCTCTGCCATTCTTTAAAGGCATTTTTCTTTTCTCTCAAAACTTCTCTAATACTTTCACTCCACCACAACCCATCCTTATCTATCATACGCTTCCCTTTTGTTTCTCCTAACACCTTCCTTGCCACACTTCGGATACAATCAGCTATTTCCTTCCAGCACTCATTCACACTCATTCCTTCCATATCACCCATCTCTATCATCTTGTTTACAACTAGCTCTCTAAATTCACTTGCATACTCCTCCTTATGCAACAAATGCCACTTTATTTTGGTTGGGGGACGATCCTTATGTTTGTTGAGGCGAACAGTTAAGCAGATGTCAGCCAGCAGAATTCGGTGCTGGGATACTAAGTCTTCACCTGGAAGCACTTTGCAGTTTTTTACACTCTTGATTTGGTTCCGTCTTATCAGAAGATAGTCGATCTGTGTCGCGTGGTGGCCACTTTTATAAGTAACAAGATGCTGATCTCGTTTTTGGAACCACGTGTTTACTACAGCCAGGTCGAAAGCACATGCTGCTTGCAGAAGAACTTCCCCCCTCACGGTTCCGCACTCCGTACCCCCATCCACCGTGTACTCTTTCATACCCGTCATTCACTCTCCCTACATGTCCATTAAAATCTCCTCCCATATAAACATCCTCACTCTCAGGTATTCCCATCATCATACAATCAAATTCCTCCCAAAACTTCTCTTTCACAATCTCTTCACAGCCTGTTTGCGGAGCATACACACAACATTCACTACTTTGTTTTCAATCATTAATTTAACAACTATCATTCTGTCATTTACTCTTTTCACATCTGTCACTCGTTCTTTCATTCCACTATCTAACACAACTCCTACTCCATTTCGCTTCCCATCACTTCCACAATAATAAAACTTGTATCCTTCCCCAATCTCTCTTGCTTTATTGCCCTTCCATTTTGTTTCCTGCAAACAGGCAACATTCACTCTTCGTCGTTTCAAAACATCTGCTAACTCTCTTCCTCTTCCAGTCATCGTACCTACATTCCAGCTTGCAAACCTCACTCTGACATTCTTCTCTCTCCGGGCTCGCCTCTTACGTCGCACCCGCTCCGTAAGGTGCGACAACCCTTGCCCACTTCCCACAGGAGCCGGGTGCTGCCGGTTCGGTTTTTACATTCTGTGGTCATAAAAATAAAAAACGTTTGAAGTTCGATGGCCGGACACTAATGTGCTCCATGTGCAGTGACCTTATAAGTCTACGCTTTCTAAACGGCCTGTGTTTTCACCTGTGTCCTACGAGCCTCCGCATCAGCTCAGCGGTGGTGCATTGTCTTCGGCAGGCGGGAGAAGAAGAGAGGCCACGCCTTCCTCTCCAAAAAATGCTATATATATATATATATATATATATATATATATATATATATATATATATATATATATATATATATATATATATATGGTAGTCTATACTATCATCAAGTAAAAATTAAAAAAAAAATCGAGGATATGTAGAAATAAAAGAAGAACTGTTACCTGCCTGGAGGCATGTGTAGGAAGGTAAGTTCTTTACACTCCGAATTTAATGTATTTTACCTGTGGAATAACTTCAATAGCTGCGCATCCGGGGTTTTTAGCGCCATTGTAGCGATTGTTTCCATAGGAATAATCACCTAAAGCCATTTGACAAAGCAACGTCTTTAGTTCACCCAGCACCGGGATTTCATCTATCATGTCGTCCGATATTTTGGCTTGCAGCTGTTGAGATGAAACAACCAATACAGATGAAGTGTAGTAGTACGATCAAAGAGATATTAAGACCCAAACCAACAAAGGACAAACGAATGACAGTTTCTAGAGTAGATTAACAATGCCTAATCAATAAAAAATACAACATCCAAACTTCTTATTAACAAATTCTTATTAATTCGTAAAAACTTCCAATTTCCAATCTCAATGTTTTTCACATATTATGCTTGACAGCGCGTAAGTATCATTTTGTCAAATTTTGGTAGGAACTTATAAAAAACTAAGTACTTATTTGCTGATACCCATTTGGCGTTAGAAAATAATTATAGCTAATAAATAATACTGTAACAAGTTACCGGTTAAATTTAGAATCATTTAATAAAATATAATATCCTCTAGACCAAATTTCACTTTTGTACTCTCTATTCCCTCACTCTCATAATCTGATGGGACAGTAAACCGACATGACCGGGGAGAGATCAGGCACAGCACCAACGGCTTTACGTGCTTTCCGAGGCACGGGGGTAAGATACCGCCAACTTCCTGACTCCGGGCAGCTACTGAGAATTTCTTGACGGAAAAACTCAATAATTAATTTTTTGGCCCGATCCGAGATGCGAACCCAGGACCTCATGATCAGCAGTACTTTGTAGTAGTGCTACTAGACCAACGAGGCAGTCTAATAAAAATAAAAATAAGATATACCTAATTATTAAGACCCGTGATGGATAGTATAGGAGTTTTTAAGTATTATTACGTGGCAGAGCCACGCTGCAGCTATTTAGTGATTGTAGCACGAATAAGTCGGTTCAACCGGGTTAGGACCACGCTCTCACAGATACCAGCGTAAAATAGCAGCTTAACGCTGCTATATGTCTTATGCTGAGTGTGAGAACCGTAGACCCTTTTTACTGGAAACGAGGTATTCAATCATAGTCCTCAGGGGTGGCAACGCATCTGAATTTTGATTCTTAATCAGGGATAAATGTTTATGGACCATCAGGTGAACTATGTAGTCGTTTGTCGCCGGGGCGGATCGTTAGGTTACTATATAAATTTAAAGAAAATTCGACTCGGTAGGTGGCGCTGTTGTCGAGATCCAGAAATTACACGTGCGAAGCCGGGGCGGATCGCTAGTTACTATATAAATTTAAAGAAAATTGGACTCGGTAGGTGGCGCTGTTGTCGAGATCCAGAAATCACCCGTGCGAAGCCGGCGCGGATCGCTAGTTACTATATAAATTTAAAGAAAATTGGACTCGGTAGGTGGCGCTGTTGTCGAGATCCAGAAATCACACGTGCGAAGCCGGCGCGGATCGCTAGTTACTATATAAATTTAAAGTAAATTGGACTCGGTAGGTGGCGCTGTTGTCGAGATCCAGAAATCACCCGTGCGAAACCGGGGCGGATCGCTAGTTACTATTTAAATTTAAAGAAAATTGGACTCGGTAGGTGGCGCTGTTGTCGAGATCCAGAAATCACACGTGCGAAGCCGGGGCGGATCGCTAGTTACTATATAAATTTAAAGAAAATTGGACTCGGTAGGTGGCGCTGTTGTCGAGATCCAGAAATCACACGTGCGAAGCCGGGGTGGATCGCTAGTTACTATATAAATTTAAAGAAAATTGGCCTCGGTAGGTGGCGCTGTTGTCGAGATCCAGAAATCACACGTGCGAAGCCGGGGCGGATCGCTAGTTACTATATAAATTTAAAGAAAATTGGACTCGGTAGGTGGCGCTGTTGTCGAGATCCAGAAATCACACGTGCGAAGCCGGGGTGGAACGCTAGTTACTATATAAATTTAAAGAAAATTGGCCTCGGTAGGTGGCGCTGTTGTCGAGATCCAGAAATCACACGTGCGAAGCCGGGGCGGATCGCTAGTATGTGTATACTCTGTGGTATATACAAAGTGTTGTATACAAAGTGGTGTATACAAAGGTACCCTGTGATATACATACGCGACAGAACGACGTGCGTCGGCACTCTTCAATCTTATAATAGTGTTCGAGACGTGGTTCTAATAACAGTTGACGCAAGCACAACCAAAGCTGAGCCTCGCCTCGGTGCATATGCGACAAATCTTCAGAATTTGGTCTTGACCAACGTCCAACTGAATTACGAAAAGAACATAAGTTAATTGTTAGGTATTATGAAAAGTTACCATGTAGTGGCAGTGTAAGAATATCCACTACCGCATATCATCCCGTGGGTGTCGTAAGTAACAAATCAGGAGATGAGCTCTTATGTCTTCCCAATAACCCCCTATGAGGCAATTTATGGGATAGGCAGAGGACTTTAGTAGGCTGTAACGGTATGAAAAGTAACAGACATACAGACGGTTCGCTGGAGGGTAGGGGTTATTGTTTTAACTTTTTGACCAAATGCACAACTATTAAAGGTACTACGCTAGACAAGCCGAGCACGAGCGAAGCATGTGCCGAGCACAAATTCGTGTAGTGTGGACCGACTTACAAGTCCCGAACGAGCGCGCTTCGGGCGTTTGGTTCGTGCTCGACTGTGCTCCACCTATTGTCGGTATTTTACGAACACAAAGAGATTTGCATCACATGCATCGATTTGCACGTTGTACCCGTAGGCTCGTTGTACGTCCAAACTTGACACCGTGAGCAGAGCGGCTCAGCTTGTGCTCAGTTCGTGCTCGGCTCCTTTAGCGTAACGTAGACCAACGACTACACCTGTGTAGTCGTTGGCGTAGACCCATCTTAACATATTATTTTACTATTGTCAACAGTTGTGTACCTACTTACATTTAAAAATCTGTAGTTCACCATTTTCGTTAAGCTTTTTCCAAGGTTCCATTTGTATCAGTTGACACACAATAGAAGGTACGTCGTTGCTTTTATAAAGATTAATTGCAATTGACGCTCCCAATCCTGCAGCTTCCATGTGTTCTGCCAGATAGCTTGAAAATGCAATACTGAGTAAATAACTTAAAATGAAGTTTATGAAACATCTGTAGTTGCGTGCTATAAGATTATTTTTTACTTATTTAAAAATAAAAAAGAGCTCATGTTGACTTCGCTCGGTAGTGCAGTAGAGCTATGGGTTTGCCCACGCCGTTGTAGGATTCGAATCCCTCACGAAAAATGTTTGTTGCTAGTATGGCCCACAAATAATTTTTACGGGTCTGGATGTGTTTTCATCTGCAATTTTTAGTGTTTGTTGTATTTATAATGTAAAACGCCTCCAAAATACAGCAAAAATCCTATTGTTGGTTAATGTTTTCTTTTTTTTTTAATAAAAATAATGATGTAATTTTTACATAGATATTTAAAAGAAACTTACCGAACGATAGAGATGCACCTCATGCTTATGTCAAACTGAAGGTCTCTTTTCTGCCTTTGAAGCTCTTCTACAACCGTTTCACAATCCATTTCTTTTACGGAAACAGGCTTAAAATATCCATCGCTAAGAAAAAGTGTTAGAAATACTTCGTGAAACAATAATTTTTCGTTATTTTAAGTTTTTCACTAATCATTCAAAGTTAATTTTCTCTTAATTTTAACTCAATGGACTTAAAATAAAAATTTGCGTTTTAAAATACGTAATTTTTTAGCGTGAATATCACTGCATGTTTAAATTTTACCTAGTGGTTTTCTGTATTCCAGGTCTTATTTTCAGATTTCCCTTAGTTCAGATCAGACGCACGTTTACTAGGCATATTTACACTTAATTCGATCTAGAGCATCGAAAATATCACACGTCACATACTTCATAACAATCATCTCCCTGGACATATGCCTCGTCTATAGTGGGGAGGATTGACGGTCACAAGTATGAGATTGCTCGCCTTTGATATTTGATGCTGGTCTTCGTCACCAGTCTAATTTTAATTTTGGTATAAATACTACTAGATGTAAAAATATCCAGATGGTGGCATAACCACCGACATGAAAAATAAAAGTTTTCATTAGCAAATAACATTGCTTTTAGAACCCGAAAGAAAATTATATAATTATTTTCAAACTAGTCCCACAAAAAAAATTATAATTTTATCTTAATACTTAATACTTTAAAATATACGTGTACTCTATGAAAGGTGATATATGAAAGACGTCCAACGTAATAAAATCATATAAACATAAATGAATACAATAAATTGCACACTAACCATGCAAGCAAATCTGCCATGCAGCGTACATTATTCATTAAAATAGTTGTGATGTTGATACAAATGTGTTAACATTATAACTATCGGAGGCTCACAGATTTTTTTGGACTCCAATAATCGACTTTTTCAAAAGCACCCTTTTAAAGAGGTGGTTGATTATTATATTAATTTTTTGTAACGCCTACAGACGACAACATTAAAGGTATATTAATTACTCACTTGATCAGAACAATTAAAGCGGTTAGTTGATCAACAGCGTACTGCAGGAGATCAATTACAACGTCGCTAATGCTTTGAACTCCATCTTCGTGGAATAATACGGTCTCCAACAGACCAACTGCTGCGGCTTCATGGTACAGCTAAGGACGTGAATAGAAATATATAATCTTAAGATATTGAAAAAAAAAACGAGGTATCAGTAGAATATACGTGGAGATCTTTTAAATTTGATATGTTTCGCAAACAACAAGAACAACAAAAACAAAGATATCATGGCCTTCCGGGTCTGGTATGTATTTCACGCGCAATTTAAAAAAAATTATGTATCTGAGTAAAGTGTAAGCTGCCTCGACGATACTAGAAGAACCTGTTAAGTTGTAGAGCCATGCTGCAGCTCTATTACATTTGTAGCAAGCTTGGGTCGGCTCAACGGGGAACCCTCCTGTGGTCCCACGCTCTCACAGAATACAGCGTAAAATAACAGCTTAATGCTGCTGTGCTTCATATGGTGAGTATAGAGAACTGGAGATCCTTTTTACTGGAAACGAGGAATTCCATTGTAGTCCTCGAAATATCCTAATGTGGTGGTATTTTTTAATTTGTGGATAATAATAAAGTACCTCTCTAAGTAAGCGGTCTTTAAATGTTGTTAATATGCCTTGACAGAAAGCATTGAAGTTATATGTGTACGTAGCACATTATTACATTGACATGCTTTCAAATCCCTAAGTGGTCAAAATCGTTAGTTTTTTTTTTAAATTGAAAAGAAGGCAAACGAGCATGCAGCTCACCTGGTGGTAAGGACTATTATAAAGGAGTAAGCTCCTTTATAAGTCGTATTACCGCTGGTGACAATAAATTCCACAGTTTTGTTCTGATTAAACCCGATATCCATTAGATTAAAAGTATTGCAGAGTAGAGTAATGGGCTTTCAACAGAAACAAAAAAGCATCGCAATCTATTCAATAGTGATTGTATGATACTTTAACATACAGACAAATAGACAAACGAAAAAAGAATCCCCAAAAAACAGAATACCAAAATAACTTCACGGCTCGTGACCTCCGAGCGCTGGGGGTCGCAGGTTCGAATTCTGCACGTAACAAGTATTTGAGGATAATATAATACAAACTAGGTAAGAAAAAAGTATAAAGTAAGTTAAATCATTTACCACCATGTAGATACCGAAAGTGTATGCCGGTGCTGGCTCCAATTTTAACATTTGCGGATATATTTTCAAACGCCATACTTGAATACAAATGGCCTCGTGAATAAGTACAGGCAACTATAAGAAAATACATAGATAATTATTTAAGGCATAATTTCAAAAAAGTACCATTACATAGCCTATAAAAAGTCTAGAGCTGAACATAGGCCTCCCACATAGAAGGGATATTTGCCATAATTGCCACGCTTGGCAAGCGAGTTGGCAACCGTAGTTTTACTTTTATTTGTTATTTAGGAAGCCGCTGCTGCCTTGCCTTCCAGTTAGTTTCCCTCTGTCGCCTCTTACGACACCCAGGGACCACGGGACGAAATGGGTTAGTGGATATTTTTAAACGCTACTACACATATAAGTTATTTGAACGATTTTGTATAAATTTTTGTGATAAGATTAACCCAGTCCATTTTGAATTCGTGTATAGTTATGTTGTGATTATCCCCAAAGCATATTTTTTTTTCAATCATGAGTGAACGCAGGGCAGAGTAAATGGGGCTCTTGACTCTATTCTGAGAAGTCAGAATGTGTCAAAAAGAAGCAAGGTATAGCAATGTAACACTCACACCTGTTACCCCTCGGGGTAACAGGTGTGAGTGTTTATGTTATGTTTTCTTCAACCTTATCACATAATTATTGCCTTGAATGAGGATAGATTAATACGAGTTTACCTTTGTGACCCTACAATAAGTCTTCCGGTATTCAATTAATTCAATTAAATTTCTTAAATAATTTTCTAAAATCATTAATTAAGTTAGTAAGAGTGCACGCCTTGCAATACATAACGCAGTGTTGGTACCGACTTTGTTATATGGCAGCGAAACCTGGGTATGCCAGAAGAAGCATAAAAGCAAGTTGAATGCCGTGGAGATGCGATCTCTTCGTAAAATGTGTGGCGTTACCATAACCGATCGAAAGCGAAACGAAGAGATTCGCAATATGGCAGGATTGAAAGATGACCTTATCACAAAAATTGATAGGGGCGTACTCCAATGGTTTGGGCACGTTGAGCGAATGAGTGAAGACCGAATGGTGAAGAAAATATATAGAGCGAAAGTAAATATTAAAAGGTGTCGAGGTAGACCGGGACTAACTTTTGAAGACCATGTGAGCAAATTGCTCGAAGAGAGGGGAAGGTCAAGAGTACTCGGATACCTAGACCTGCATGTATGAAGAAGTTAATGAACCTGAAAGAAGCGAAAGAGATATGTAAGGATCGTGACACTTGGCGATCTGTTCTCTCTGGCTACCCCGTTAAGGATTGTGCGTGAAGATAAGTAAGTAAGTAAGTAAGTATTAATTAAGTACAGGCACCTGTCTGTAGTTTTTGGTCCTCAAAAATATTTATTATCTTAATTGTATTCTAATCAACATTTTGATGATGAATTGGTATTTCATTAACATGTGGAGCTATCATTTCAACTTCTATAGAAATTCTTAATTTTCTTGTATATGGATTACATTAGCAAATACACTCGTTTTATTTGTAAATTTTTAAAACCGGTTAACCTTCGTTATAAGCACATCTTCTCACCTTTCCATGAGAAATCAAAGTTTCTTTTGTAAGTTCTTCCACCATTGAAGACGCTTCTAGTACAGCTTGTTGATTTAATTTCTGAAGTCTTATGTGCCATTCGATCCAGCTGTGGCAAAAGAAACCAAGATAATTCAAAATTCAAACTCCCTCAAAATTCCCGCCAAGCTATTGTCGCGCTCCCGCCGCGTTCATCGACTTCTTTATAATTAATTTACTGTGTTGCCGGCAGTGGCGGCATTAGCAAAAACTTTAGGTGGTGCGAGATCTCATAGTGGCGCCCATCTAAATACAAAACCTTAGTTATGGAGTGTAGAAGTAAGGAGTACCAACTCCCGTAGGGGAATAGTTGAAAAAGTGTCCATCTGTAAGTAGTAAATAACAGTTCAAAAACTCTCCACTACAGCGCTCGAGTAGCTACGGAATATGTTAAATCGCCATAAAATACGTTGAGAGTGATTTCAAAAATAAAAATTTTGAAAGAAATAAAATAATTATTATAAAAATAATTATGGTGAAATTCTGTGCAATAAAAAATATAAAAAGTTCTTTGAAATTTAGACTGTAGCTACAGTGGCGATACCCTTATTTAACGCTTTCCTACGGACACTTTTTTATACAGAGTCTGTACTCCTTACCTCTACACTCCATAACCTTAGTGCTTCTATACTATGCAGTTGCTTTTTCGTGATTTTAAACAGTATTAGACATATCAAATATCTACAGGTGTATACTACGCGTTCATTTCGAGTTTGCCGTCGTAGACCGTTATGACGTCACAGCTGACGGTACCGTAGACGAAAAAAGTCATCATGTTTATGTTTTTTAGTATTCATATTTTTAATAAAGTTAAATAATAACGTGTTCGATAAAATAAAATATTTTTTGAATGATGATGATGATGAAATAATAACGTGTTCGATAAAATAAAATATTTTTTATAGTTTTATTTTACATTTTAAATATATCAAATTAAAGATTTTCGAACTTTTACTCATTGTAACAGAAGAAATTAACGAATATCAACAGAAACAAAAACAAAAAAATCAACAGCAACAAAAACAACAGCAAAAACAGTAACAAACTAGAGAACGTACGGGAGCACAAAAAACGGACGTAAGTACACTTCGACGTTGCTATCGGTACTAAAAGGGCGACGCTTGAGGCGCGGAATGAGGGGGCGCGGCGGGAGTTAACGGCATTCTTGAAGTGAACGACTAGTATACAGGGTAAGCACAATTATGTCCGTCGCTCTTGCCCTCTTGCCATAGCAGTTGTTCTGCTTATTCGCGTTATGTCGCCTCTACACGTTGGCCAACACAGTGGCGAATGTAGTTGCGAATATATTGGCCGAGAGTTGGTGACGGCGTCCACACGTTGGAAGGTCGTTAGACGACGGCTCCGTGGCGCAGTGGCTTAGCAATGAGTGGCTGTGCTGGGGGTGTGTTTGAATCCCGCACGGAACAAGTATTTGTACATCCTACAAATAATTGTTTCGGGTCTGGATGTGTGTCCTTGTGCAATTTATGTTTGTAAGCTGCCTCCGCGATACAGGAGAAAATCCAAGTGTTGGTTCCAAATAATTATAAAAGAATATTGAATATTGATGGGGCTGTAAATAGATATACGATATACGATTAGCTTTATTTATTCTTTACATGCATCATAAACTGGAATAAATACCATTAATAAGAACTTAACTTATTTTAAAGTTAAAGGAGTTATAATCGATTAGTCTATGTTTTAAAATTGGGATTTGATTCTAAAGTTTAGCAAAATATGTACTTGCATTTCTATCAGACATTTGATGTATTAAAACACCTTATAATTTATTTGGTAATTTAATTATTTTTTGAGAAAGACAAAAACAATATCAATAAATATAATTAACACCGACTTAAAATAGGTACTAATTATAACATAGAACATAAATGAAAAACTTATGACGAGCAAAGTGGCTCAGGACCATGCTTTGCGGCAGTCTGTGGAGGAGGATGTTAAGTAGTGGACTTGTGAACAGCTGTAACTGAACAGATGATGATTCGAAATTTTGCACGATTAAATTATAAGAAATCGACGTTTTTTTATAGGATAGGGTGACAAACGGGCACACAGTTCACTTGATGGTAACTGGTTACTGTGGCCCACAGACATCTACATCTATCCTCGATTACGAATCAAAATGCAGATGCGTTGTCACCCGTGAGGACTAAGATGAAATGCCTCGTTTCCCTTAAAAGGGGTCTCTGGTTCTTTACACTCACTATACGAAACACAGCATCATTAAGCTACCATTTTACGCTGATACTCTGTGAGAGCGTGGTCATTCCCCGGTCGAGCCGACCTTCGTGCTGCAACTATACTTCTATTATAATTGCATGGTTCTACCACGTATAAACGACGTGCTTCATTTTTTTTTCATTTTAAAATTGTTCTCGTAGTAATCTGATTGTAAAAAAAGGTTAATTTTTTTGATAAATAGCTTATTGATTAAAACAAATGTTTAATAATAATTAAATCGCGCTAATTAAAGTAATAGGAATGTTTAAATTTGAAATTGGCACTAAAAAGGCTGGTAATTGGGGCATCCACCCTACAAAGCTTGAATATAACATTTAAATCAGATGCGTGTAATCACTCTGGGAGCTTGTAGCTTATAGCAAACTAAACGCGCGGCCAACGTGTGGACGCGGCGACCAAACTCTGCCAACAATCCTTTGATCTTTTGTAAAAAACCGACACTCGTAGTCGTAGCTCAACCCGGAAAAGATCACACTCTCACAGAATACCAGCGAGAAATAGTAATATAATGCTTCTGTGTTTGGTATAATGAGTGAAATGAACCGAAGACGCTACAACATGGATGACAACGAATCAGCATTTTGATTATTAGTCGAGGATAAATGTAGGTGTCTATGGCCACAGCATTCACTTTTTAACATCAGTTGAACTGCTACTCGTTTTTAATCCATACTTTTATAAAAAAAAACACCCCGAAAAATAGTCTAGTGCTGGAAATTACCCTTTCCCATAATGAGGAACATAGTTGGCGTGCTTTTGTATAAATATAATAAGTTCGGGCTTTTTCTAAGATGCCGCATACAAAAATTAAGGAATTATGGTTTTTTGAAACTATTTTTTTTACTGTAGAATTCGTTTCACATTGCCTTAAAGCATTTGATAGGTAAAAATCAATATGGAATAACAAATTGAGTAACTTTCATAAAATAACATTATAATTGGTCTTACGCTTGGTTTCCAATATTTTCTATCTGAGTGGGTTCCATGCTGTCTACAAATAAGTCCAATTCGCCAACTTCTAAAGCACTTAGCTGTTCTTTATCAGCCATCTTCTTTACAATATTTCTTGCAGAGAAATAACTCAAATGAGGCAAAGTAATACCAATTACATGAATAGAATTATCTTCGACAACCGAAAGTTTTGTTACCAAGGAGAATATAATTTCAAAGTTTGATTGTTTCTATAGTAACCAAATATAACTATTTATTTGCATTCTCTTTGATAACAGCCAAAACAAATCCCATACCTTTAAACGAGCAATTCTTGTACCTATATATATATATATATATATATATATATATATATATATATATATATATATATATATATATATATATATATATATATATATATATACGCACTTTGAGAAAGTAGTTTGTTCAGAATCGTTTACTGAAGCGATTCCTACATTTTTAATATAATAAAACAGTAACGAAAGAAAAACTGTACATTGAGAACTTTCGAGAAAAAATTAGTGGCTTTTGTTAGAAAAACGTAACTGATGATAAAAAGTGACGTTTTACAATTTTTGTCTGTTTGTCTGTGTGTATGGTACGGCTTCACGCCAAAGCTACTGGATAGATTGAATTGAAATTAAGCAAAAATGTTCTTTGTTTACCAAGGAAGGCTTTAGGCTACATATTATTAGGTAAGCAATATTGATTTTAAAAAAGTTTTCCTTCGTAATTATATTTTCATTTGATTATTTGGTAAATACACATTATTCTTACGTTAATAAACCGAAATCACGTTCATTTTTTGCTCCATATCGTGATTTACAATACTTTAATGCACAACCAGGCATATTTTCATTAAAAATGCTGTGACCACGCGCATGTATTACACCCTCTAACGAAATATAGCAATACTATACTGAATATTTACTTAGAAAACATTTTAGCTATTTCCCAGTAGGTGACACTACTAAACATAAGGTTAAAATCCGTTGTAGGCACATCGTTAATCACTAACGTATTTTTAAATAAATAGTGACGTTACTGGATAACAGAGGGCACTTATTACAATAATTTTTCTTTCTTCTCGAACCATATACTAGAGATAGTAAAATTTAAAAATTATTTGGTAAATACACATTATTTTTTCGATAATAAACCGAAATCACGTTCATTTTTTGCTCCATATCGTGATTTACAATACTTTAATACACAACCAGGCATATTTTCTTTTAAAATATTTTTAAATTTATAAAATGAATTGCGTCTTGACCTTTTAACGATGTCACTTAGACTAAATGACGAAAATCGGAGATATATCCTATAGGACAAAAGTTACAGATGACAATTATGTTACTGATGTCCGGTCTATTACTACTAGGTACCTATTTAAATGTCTTTGCTTACTAAGCAAATTTGTTGTAGTCAATTGATTTAAGTATGTAATTCTTAGTTTTGTTCCTTGCTGCTGTTACTATATTTTTTTATGCAAAAAATAATGTACTTGTCTGTTAAATTTACTACAATTTAGTTTTAATTCATGATTTAATTAATTCATTTGGGTAAATAATATGTAGTTTCCGTTTTCTAACTAGATCTCGTTGGCGTTGAGTTCAGGTGCCGATGGGCCGCTCTCATCTTATCGTAACGGCAGTTACCTCTGTTGTCTGTATTGGTTGATGTGTTTAATTTTCCTGCGAATAATTATCATTATACTTAACAGCAATTCTTACGTACTTATTCGATTACTTTTCATTTTCATTGTTTTGAATATCGTTAGTATCGGACTATCGGATTAAGAAGGAATTTTAGCTATGCCTTTTAGAAAAAAATCAAATCTGTCTCGAAACTCAAGGGTTTCTAAGATGCGCAGGTTAGTTCGATCTTTCAAAACCGACGCAGAGCGTGAACAACGGCTGGGTGCTAACCGTGAGCGTAATGCACTAAGTTTGTCCGCAGAAACTAGGACGTTAGAATTTAAACGAGTCCGCACTACCGCTTCTCGATCTCAGGAAAGTGTGGAAGACCGCTCACAGCATGCTTTAGCTCGGTCTTTGGAGACAGACGAGCAGCGCGAGCAACGCAACGCACTTACTCGGCAAAGATATCATTGTATCAGTGTCATTTCATTCCACGCAAGAACGTGAGCGGATTCAGGAAATTCGGGCAAGTCAGTCAGTCGAACAGCGTGTGGCCCAAATTGATCTAGACCGTATACGTCGCAATCTTCGCAATTCATCCTCATCTGATATTGAGTCTATGGTTTATGATCTTGAAGAGCAACCGTGGTTCAATAAAGAAAGGAGCGCGTTTTCCTATGACCCATTTATTAATTACATCGAACACGGAGACATTGGCACCATGTCTGAGGTTTGTGCACACTGTCACGCGCGTAAGTGAAAGGGAGAGACTAAGGGAATGTGTTGTGCGTCTGGAAAGGTACGACTAAACTCTATGCAAGAGCTACCGGAGATCTTACGACTTCTTTTGAATAGCGAGAATCCCAAGTCCAGCCATTTCTTAAGCAATATTCGAGCCTACAACAGTGCTTTCCAGATGACTTCATTTGGAGCTCATCAAGTCACTGAATCTGGATTCATGCCGACTTTTAAAATTCAGGGGCAAATCTACCATCGGATAGGTTCCCTGCTTCCCACCGAAATGCCGAAATTTTTACAAATATATTTCATTGCAGATTTTGCTGAACAGGCTAATGTCCGATGCCGACACATACCTAATTTAGACCTGAGCCCTATAGGGGATTACAAAACACTCTGCATAGTGTCAACCCATACGTTACCGATTTCAAAACCGCTCTGGAATCGGTGCCTGAACACGAGCGCGATAATTTTAAATTCGTTATTAGCGCAAACAAAAGACCGACCGCAGCCCATCCAGGACGATATACGCACCAACGTTAAACGAGGTAGTCATCCTCTTGATTGACCAGGATTGCGACAAAAGAGACATTGTTTTACGCACACGTGATGATCGCCTACAGCGTATCAGCGAGACACATCGCGCTTATGATACCCTACAGTATCCCCTAATGTTTTGTCGCGGAGAGGATGGCTATCACTTTGCCGTATACAATGTAGACCCGCAGACAGGTGCCCCAAATTATAACAAAAATACTTCCGCCCTCCAGTTTTACAGTTACATCATTCAGATCCGTTCCACCGACAACTCTCATCTCCATTATTACCGTGCACTCTTTAGTCAATTTCTGGTAGATGAGTATGCCAAAATTGAAACGGAGCGGTAGGTGTTCATTACAACGAATCAACGGAAACTAAGGGCGGAAAAACTACGTGCACCTAAGGGACGCCATGCGAGAGGACTCTAACGCGGAAAATATTGGACGGATGGTGATACTCCCTTCCACCTTTACGGGAGGTCCGCGGTACATGCACGAGCGGACACAGGACGCATTCTGTTACGTGCGCAAGTACGGTCGACCGGACCTCTTCATCACCATCACTACCAACCCTAAGTGGCCCGAAATAACCAGCGAGCTCTTAGCAGGGCAGGTGCCACATGACAGGCACGACTTGATTTCTCGGGTGTTTCATTTAAAATTAAAGTGCCTGATGGATCTTCTCACAAAAGAAAAACTATTTGGTGCTACCAGATGCCACATGTGTTCGGTAGAGTGGCAAAAACGCGGCTTGCCCCATGCGCATTTGCTTTTGTGGTTGAGAGATAAAATCAGGCCCAACGAGATCGATGATGTCATAAGTGCTGAGCTACCAGATCCCAACGTTGACCCCGTTCTGTACCAAATTGTAAAGGGTCACATGTTGCATGGTCCTTGCGGAGCCCTAAATCGCAATTCTCCTTTCATGAGGGACGGACGGTGCTCAAAAAGGTTCCCGAAGCGATTTAGCAGCGAAACACTTACAGGTGAGGATGGATACCCTTCATACCGGCCTCGATCTCCTGCTGAGGGTGGAAGTCATGCCGAGTTAACTATGCGTGGCCAGGCAGTCGAGATCGACAACAGGTGGATAGTTCCATACTCACCTGTACTTTCCAGGACGTTCAGTACCCACATTAAAGTCGAGTCGTGCACAAGCGTACAGTCGATTAAATACATCTGTAAATACGTCAACAAAGGTAGTGACCAGGCAACGTTCGCTTTACAGAGTACTGATAGGGATGAAGTGACCAAGTACCAGTCTGGTCGCTACATCAGCACTTCTGAGGCGGTTTGGCGGATACTGGCCTTCTCTATACACGACAGGCATCCAACAGTCATGCATTTAGATTTCCATTTAGAGAATGGCCAGCGCATTTATTTTGACCCTGATAACGTTGCAGCGAGATTGGAAAATCCGCGCCAAACCACTCTGTTGGCCTTTTTCAGACTATGTGAAGGGGACAACTTTGCTAGATCACTCACCTATGATGAGGTGCCGTCGTACTACACGTACGACAAGCAAGGAGGTGAATTTAATCGACGTCGACGCGGACACGCCGTGGATGGGTTTCCGGGAATTTTTAAGGACACCGCGTTGGGACGGGTTTACACTGTGCACCCAAATAATGGCGAGTGCCATTATTTACGAATGTTACTGCACACAGTGCGGGGCCGAACATCATTTGCGTTTCTAAGAACAGTCGATGACGTTCAGTATCCCACATACCGCGCTGCTTGCGTAGCACGCCACCTTCTCGACGGTGATCAGCACTGGGACAACGCACTTGAGGAGGCCAGCATTAGTGACAGTCCCAGTCGTTTGCGACATCTGTTTGCCCTCATGTTGGTGTTCTGCGGTATTGCAAATCCGCTTCTGTTGTGGGAGAAATATCGGCATCTTCTGTCCGAAGACTTCCTAAGAGCTCCGAGATGCACTACTGGAGATAATACTGAGGCAACTGATGAGCACGTTCTAAACAGTTGCCTTAGTTCACTTCAAGACATGGTCATTTCGATCGGCGGCAGTTCTCTGGTGGATTATGGGCTACCGTCTCCACAACATCTGGATATATTATTAGTATAAATTATGATCCAAGAGCTATGAGTACCGTCGTCAAGGACCATACCTCAGAGCAAAAGCAAATTTTCGACACCATCCTTGAAAGCGTTGGGCTC